ATTACGCACACACTTGGTTGTGAATTATCTGATGTATGCTTAATGAAATGGACCCCCACCACCTCCACCCCTGGTGTCGTCCTGCGCTATTTTCGCATATCTGGCTGCCCTCGTCGAAATCTGCCTTTTTCGCCCTTACTAGCATACGAACGAACAATGTTCTACCCTGCCGCGTTTGGGTTCGCCCCCGCGCCTTGCAACCCGCCCACGGTATGCCGACGGTTGATGTCGGAGTAGCATGGATATGACCTGTCGTATTCATGCGTCTCTCATGTGACACACACATGCTACACATACACACACACACACACACGCACACATGCGGGGCAACTGCCCGTTTTTTTTGGCTACCAAATTCTTTTTTTTCCTTTTTTTTTTTTCTCTCTTTTTTGTGTTTTCGATTTTTAAAAAATCCTTTTTAAGGCCAAAAAATAGAAAACATATATGGGGTTCTAGATCTAAAAAAAATCTATAACCCTATATTTTTATTTTATTTTTTTGATTTGTTTTTGCCCCTGAAACACCTTCGGACGACCGTCGTCCGTAGGCCCGTACGACTATTCGTCCGTCCGTACGGACGGGCCATACGGAGACCCCCCGTACGACGTACGGGGGACGACACTGGGGGTGGGTAAATAGCTGGCACGCACATCCTCAACAGCTGCGTGCCGCACTACAAAGCCATACACACATTGTGGTGAGTGTGCTATGGTAGCAGCTACGCATGCGCATAGCCAGCAGCTGCCCAGGTTCAAACCCTGGTGGCAACGTGCATCCCAGATCTTGATAATATAAAATCCGGGAGCGGGGCAGGGTGGGGCAGTTGGGCAGCGTGTGCGGTGCCCTTGGCCATGGTCGGGTTTTGCTGTTTTCCCAACTGTGCGGTGTGGCGGGTGGGAGCAGGGAGCGTTCTCGCTCCGGTACCGGTGTGGCGGACCCACCAAGTGTGGTGCTCCCCATGAGGGATGAAGGGGGAGCGAGATAGCACCGCGCAGCTCCCACACGAGACTCCAACGCACGTACTCCAAGATGTGCGAATGTAGAATGATCCGGAAAACAGACATCAGCTGGGGTATACCCTAGCGGACTGACAGGACTGGACTGGACTGGCAGGTACCAACAGAGGTACCGGCCTGGACTGGACTACCCCGAATACAACATAGGCCTGTGAGAACAGGCCAAGGGGCCGGTCTCACAGGCCAACCAGAGGTCCGCTACACATGCGCGCGCACACACACACACACACACACGCACACACACACGCAAAGACACACGCACGCACAGACACACACACACACGCACACACACACACACACACACACACACACACACACACACACACCAGCAATCAGAAAAAAAATAAAAAAAAGAAGTTTCCTTTCTTTATTGTGTTTCTTAAACTTTCTTTTGATTTTAAAACTTGTTTTATTTGTTTTCTACTTGCTAAAAATCACAAAAAGCATCAAAATCCAAAAAAAAAAAAAGAGGATGTAGGGAATTTCAAACCCTACAACCTACGAAACACCCTTGGCGGCGGACAAGCGCAACCGATCCGCAAACGCGGCCGAGTCCGCCACCCCCGCGGATGTGTCTTCGCGGACGCGCCACTTCGCGGACGCGTGGCGGCCGGTGGGGAGGGGGGTTGGGTATTTGGGAAGCGCCATGGGGCGGCGCATCCCCAGCCCCACCCCCTCAAAAAAAAAAAAAAAAAAAAAAAAAACTAATTTTTATGTGGGGGGGTTTGGGTGAGTGATGGTATTTAAAAAAAAAAATTAGAAAAAAAAAGCGCGTTTTTTTTTCTTTTTTTTTTTTCTTTTTTTTCCGTTGATTGATTGATCGATCGATTGATTGATTGATTAGTTTCGTTGATTTTTTTTTTTCCGTTGATTGATTGATTGATTGATTGATTGATTGATTGATTGATGATTGATTGACTGGTGGGGGAGGGGTC